CAAGTCCTGTCCGAATGACCCATGGGTCGATGGAGCATTTCCGTTCGCAAGGTTATTGCTGCTGCCATAGTGGTGCTGCAGATGGTACGGTTGCTGTGGCTGCGACGGCGACGGCTCCGTGGAGGCGCCTATGGACGCCGCCAGCGACGTCTGGCCGTCGACGTTGCCGCGGCAGTAGCACGCGATGAGGTGATCTGCTGCGGCGCGTTCCGCTTCATCGGCGCCATTCAACACCACACGCAGCGCGGCCGTCAGCGCCGGCACTGCCTCGGCTACCGCTGTCGCAGCCAGGGGGCCCTGCCCCGCTCCGTCAAGCCCGTCCGCTGCCGTTACCCCCGCCGGCAGCAGCGTCTGTCCGGACGGCCGTACCGTCACGCGCGCCAAGCGTTCCTGCGCCGCCGCCAGGCCGTCGACCAAGTCACCTAGGGCGCCCAGCGCGGCGGCGCGCACCGGCGCCGACGGCACGCCGCCGTTCCGCAGCGCCGCCGCCACCAGCGCCTCTAATGCCCCTGCAGCAAGCAGCTTGGCCTGGTTTGCGGCACGGTTGGCTTTCTCCGTAGCTCGATCAGGGTCGGCGGAGGCTACCTGCGGGGCGCACTGTCCAGGGAGGGGAAAGGCAGACAGACAAACTGTCGGAACACGGAATGGAAGCCGTTCCGGCTGGGCGGCCGGGGCGCATGTTACGCTGGAGGAGTGGTGAGCGCTGACCCCCGCAATCCACGTCCTTTGAATTTCATGTGTCACTAAATTGGCGGCCTTGAAAATAAATAACTTGTACGGCCTTATGACCGATCCGGAGGACGAGACGGCAGAAAGCGTTCCGTTCGGGCCCTTCTCAACGAGCCCTTCTCCACACTGGCTCCCTCTGCTCCCGCCCCATCTCGACCCCAGCCCCAGGTCTTTCTTCTCCACTTTTTTATAAAAAGCCGGTCAGGGTCGTGTCGACGGGCTGCCTCACCAGCAGCCGGAATGTCTCCAGAAGGGCCAACATGTTGGCCGCCTTCTGTCGCGGCAGCTGCGGCGGCCCCATCAGCGCGTCACTGCCCGCCGCCGCCAGCGCCGCCAGCGCGTTGTGCAGCTCTAGGGAGGGCTCGTCGGCTGCGTCCAGGCCGTGACCGGCTGCGCCGCCGCCGCCCCCGCCGACATTAAGGAACGGAATGGGACCCGCTGCCTGCGCAAAATGGCCGACACCGGAGGTGACTGCTGCTGGGGCGGTGACGGCGGCGCCAGGCGGTGCC